GATTAAGAGATATTCGAGGACCAATGGTACTTGGACTTAGGATGCTCATCACACATGTTTGGAAGGAAAGATTGGTTTGTTAGCATAAAACTTTCAATGAAGAACATGGTGAAATTTGTAAATGGAAATACTCTAGCAGCTGAAGGTATTGGTGATGTTATTATTATGAGGAAAGATGGCAAAAGGTCAATAATTTCAAATGTATTGTACATATCAGGCATGAAAAGTAATTTGCTCAGTATATGGCAGTTGGTCGAAAATAACTACAAAGTGTCGATTGAAGACAAATTAGTGAGAGTTCTCGACTCAAGAGGAAGGTTAATCTTGAAGGCTCCTATGTCTCAGAATAAAACTTTCAAGATTGAACTTAATGTGATGGAGCACAAGTGCCTTGCAACTGCGGCTAGCTGGCATGAATGGATATGGAACGATAAACTTGGCTATCTCAACTTCAAAAACATCAAAGATATAAAGAGAAGAAATATGGTTTCAGGGTTACCAAAAATCGATATTCTAAATGAAGTGTGTGAGGAATGTGTGCAGGCAAAGAAATAAAACAAAATTCCTTTTCTTTTGTTGCCAAGGAAGTATAAAATGTTTCATATGTCATACATTTCTAATTCCTTACTAAGATCACATTTGAAGTCTTTGATCTCTTTCTTGCAGCTACTTGTTATCAACAAGTCATCGACATAGAGACTTGCTTCATGCATCCTTGCATAAGTTATTATTTTGTTAATAACAGGTAGCTGCAAGAAAGAGATCGAAGACTTCAAAGATGATGTTAGCAAGGAATTCGAAATGTATGACATAGGGAACATTTTATACTTCCTTGGCCTTAAATTCTACAAGAGTAGTAGAGGATTGATGATGCATCAAAGAAGATATGCAAGTGAAATACTCAAGAGATTTGATATGGAAAAATGCAGCTCAACTTCAACACCTGTTGAACCAAGACTACAATTGTCGAAAGAATCAGATGAAGATGATATCAACCCAACACAATACATAAGAATTATTGGGTCATTACGATACCTTTGTCACGCAAGACCTGATCTAGCATACATTGTAGTATGGTGAGTAGATTCATGCAGAAGCCAAAGGTATCACATCTAACAACGACGAAGAGGATACTTAGATATGGTATCTCAAAGGAACTCTTGCCTATGGTATTTTGTTTCTTATAAATTATGAAGGAAAAGAATTCAAGTTAGTGGGTTACATTGACTCAAGTTGGTGTAATGGTGTTGAGGATAGAAAATCTACAACTGGTTATGTGTTTATGTTAGGTGGTGCACCAATTGCTTAGAGTTTAAGAAAAGAACTAGCAGTGGAACTATCATCGTGTGAAGTAGAATACATAGATGCTTATCTTTATGCATGTCAAGCAACGTGGATGGTGAATCTTGTCGAAGAAATTACAAGGAAGGATCATGTAGGAATTACCATGAAGATCGACAACATGTCAGCTATCAATCTGGCGAAGAATCCGATAGCACATGGAAGAATCAAGCACACCAAAATGAGGTTGAATTATCTTCAAGATTAGGTAGAAATGAGAAGTTTAACTTGGAACACTATAGAACTGAGAATCAGATTGCAGACATCATGACGAAAAGAGTGCAGGTCGAAGTATTCAAGAAATTAAGATCTATGATGAATGTAGATAGCTTAGACACAAAGAAATAATTAGTGTGTTGAGAATGTAATTCCTTGTGTCGAAGCAGGTTTCTCGACAGAAACAAGGAAGTATCGAAATAGCCTAGTGTGTGTCAAATTTATGTAGTTGTCTAAATATCAAAGCAGGTTACTCGACTGGAATTTCGACTTAGGCCTAATTTTGTAGTGTTAGCATAATTAGGTATTTTGGGTTTTGGCTTAGGGAGCAAGAAAATCTAAAACTATAAATGGAGAGTAACTCCTATTATTGTATAAAATTGAATGAAGTTGCATATTTTGAGAATAATATTCAGTTTGAATAACATAGAAAAACTCTGCAGATAATTCTCCTCTTCCCAATTTTGCTCAAACTCTAATTTTCTTTCTTCCTTAATTTTCATATTTTCTTTCTTCTTCCATTAACAATTCTGCAACAAAATCATCTTACAACTAATGTTGGTTGATTCACTAGAGTGAAGAGTGAAGAATTAAAGGGAATTCGCTGGGTTAATTGATTCTTATTCATCAATATTGATTCAAAATTCTCCATAGGTTTGATGTAATTCCAACACATAAGAGAATCTCAAATTTTTGGTTGGAATTTCTTGAGAATGGCCTTTGAAAAATCTCACCAACGAGTATTTGAATTTATCTTCTTCCAAGAAAGCCACCAATCAAGAGCATCTCCTCTCAATGCAAATTAAATAATCCAACAAAGTGTCATCTCTTTGCTCATTCTTGACCCAAAATATTGATTTGCTTGGATAATCTATTAATAGACATCCCTTTCATCAAATTTTGGAATCAAATATGTTATCATCTTCATGGAAAAATTCCCAACACACCTAGATAATCTTCTTGGATCATAATTACTCTAATATCAATTGATAAAAACTAGTACCTAATAGAAATTAATTGCACAATACTAATACGTTATTGCTAATAATTCTAGGGATGATAACCATACTAATACATATAAACACATTACAATAGTTATAAGAAATACTACAAAATAATAGGACATAAACACACCAATATTTGAATGTTTGTCCTCTCTCATTTCCAAATGTTTGAGAGTTGAGTTTCTTTCATTAACTACTCAATAATTCCTCTGATAAAAGCTTGATTTGTTCAATGTGTCTCCTTTTTATAATTACGCATCATCTCGTACTTAATATACATAAATAATCACATAATTAATTACTACTCATAAAAGTAATATCTCATAACTAGCGATCATTATCTCATAAAGTAATTATCCTATAATTGACAATAGCTTTTTCATAACTGATATAATTAGTTTTATCTTTTCGTATTATACATTATATTTAAATAAGAGGTCTAACAATAATTCACCCTAAATATTCACCTTGTCCTCAAGGTGAAGGGTTACCCAAGTGATTGTCGAGGTTTCACAACTTAAAGTTGAGGGATAAACAAGACAGGAAACATGATAATTGATGTCTAGATCATACTCATTGTTTTGGATGGTATGTTTGACCCAAAAACATAGTTGACAATAATAGACATTAAAAAACACCATTTCAATGAAAACAAAATCTAATCCACTATTCATCGAGGACTCAGTTGAAGACATGTTGGTCCTTAATTCAAATGCCATACTCGCACCATGTCCATCAAAGTGCCTGTCGATAATAAGAAGTTTGCAGAAATATGTTTTTGTTTTTTGTTGCTTTTTCACAATGACATTCACTAGGGAATTTTAGGCATCTTCTACGTTTGCAATTTCTACCTTTTCCTCATTTTTCTCTTCTATTATCTGAATGAAAGTGAAATTTCCTCAATTTATTTCTTCTTGTTAAAGGTTGAATGTGTGAGGCATCGACGATTCCATTTCCAATTCAAGTTCCTCTTCTTCCTTAGATATGGGAAGACGATTTCGATACTCTGACTTAAATTATCAAAGTAATACAACATGAAACATTCGCCAACTTGTTAGTTGATAGTGTTGGCTTCACCATTGCCACCATTTGAGAGCACAATTTCTCAAGACTTTTACTACCTCTACCAACTTTTCACTCTTCGATGTTTCCAAGACATCAAAATACTTCGCAATACTAATCAACCACCAATATACAACACGAATGTCGTCAAACTATGACATGTTCATTTCTCTTACTATAAATTTCTTGTCTCAAATCATAACTGTTCGGATACCAGTTGACAGAAACCAATTGATATACAAAAGAAAATAAAAAAATAATATTCTAAAACTTTAAGGGTCTGCACTTCCCTAATATTAAAATGACATTTTTCAATCAAACTCAAACATAATCAATTATCCTCTTTTTTCTCCTTTTTATTCTAAATATAAAACCACATAACTAATTAAACGTAACTACTCCTAATAATATGATAATTCTCCATTAACCGCTCCTAATAATATAATAGTTACTACTTAAAAACATAATCCTTAAGTGATATGAGAGGTCCAACATTAATATTCTTAATTTAGTCAATATTCAATTATGACAAAGTGCATAAGACCTTAATTAATCATGATTTAACTCTAATATAATGAGACCTTATTTAATTATGGTGGCTAAATTAGATACCGCAAGCTCTTGCAGCCTTTTATTACCTGCCTATTACCATCTAACAGACACATCATTGTGTAGTATCTACACCTCATACTTAATGTGTCTATATTTAACATGTATTGTGTAGTACCTACACTTAATCTTGTCTGATATATAACATGTGTGTCCTGTTAGATACTCAAATGTGTTTACTTTAATTTTTTCCAAAATATTACTACAAATATTCACAAATCAATATGAGTGTGGTACCTAGTATCTGTGTCTATGGTTAATTCTTAATCATAGATGATGAACAAATAAAATAAAATAAAAAAGCAAAGCAAAGTGTGTGTGGGGAAGGATTGGTCCTGTACTGTCTTAGCATGTCCCCTCCACCCAACACACATAAACTATTTCTCACTCTATCTCTAAGACTCTTAACAGTTTAATTCCAAAAGTCACTACCACATTACCTTTTCTTTCCTTTTGTTTCTGTGCTTCCTATGCAATTGTCTCTGTCTTCTGCTCCCTCTTCTGTGTCCCTTCAAATGGAGGAGATAATGGAATCATACTTTGAATTTCTTGTTATCATTTGATAAATAAATACTCTTTCTCTCTTTCTTTAACCCTTGTTTCTAACATGATTAAAAATAACCTCATTTACATGACACTGTAGCTTCCACTTTCTGAATTTCACTTTTGGTGCCACCCTCTTTACAGTCTTTAAATAAAGTTGTGATTTTTTTCATTTGGGCTGTTCTTAATTCCATTTGAGTTTCTGAAGAAACAAAGGAAGTGTTCATGGAAATTGATCTGAACCATGAAGTGACTGAAATTGAGAAGAATGATGCATTATGCATTATGGAATGTGAAAAAGGTTGCTGTTCTTGTGTTTGTTGTTTGTCCCCTTCCACTTGTTCATCTTCTAGTTCAACTTCACCTCTTGTTTCTTCTTCTTATCTTGAGCTTTGGCATGCTTGTGCTGGCCCTCTAATTTCTCTTTCTAAGAAAGGAGATGTTGTGGTTTATCTTCCACAAGGTCATTTGGAGCAATTTGCTTCTTTCTCTCCTTTTAAGCAATTGGAGATACCAAACTATGATCTTCAGCCACAGATCTTTTGCAGGGTTGTCAATATACAGCTACTTGTGAGTACTCAAATTTGCTTTTTGGATTGACATTTTCTGTGTTACTCTTTTAGTTTTGCTTGAATTGTTGTTTCTGATAACAGGCCAACAAGGAGAATGATGAGGTTTATACACAAGTTACTTTGCTTCCTCAGGCTGAGGTTTGTTTTTGTTGAAGTTCTTTATGTTTGGTGTGTGTTTCTAAACTCAGACTTATTTGAATTGACTTATTTGAGCTTATCTATTAGTTTTCTGCTTATTTTTAAAAGCGCTTCATGATAGCTTATGAAAAGAGCTTATAACGTATATGACAATAGTCTAGTTTATCGTTGTAGACTTTTTGGTTTTCGCCTGAAATGTTGAGGTTGAGAATTAAGGAGTGGAGTGATGAAGGGAGAGAGTTTAGTTCCAACTTTCAATAAGCTTTGCTTTTAAGTAAGTTTGAATAGATGGGTTGTTTTGGCTTTTCAGTTGGCAGGTATGCATATGGAAGGAAAAGAAGTTGAGGAATTAGAAGGAGATGAAGAGGGAGATGGAGGGTCACCTACAAAATCAACTCCTCACATGTTCTGTAAGACACTTACAGTTTCTGATACCAGCACTCATGGCGGCTTCTCTGTGCCTCGTAGAGCTGCTGAAGACTGTTTTCCTCCTTTGGTATGAAATTGTTCGATGATAATCTCTTTGAAGTTTGATTAGTTTACTTTTCCATGAGCCATTGAAGTTTGATTTCTTCTGTTTGGATTGAATTATTTGAATTTATCTACTGACATAAGCACTTTCTGAGACTAATTGGGACAGTTTGTGAAAACAGTTTATGACATGTCCATAAGCTGTTTTCAGCCTATTTTCATGAGCTTTTCAGAATAGCTTATAACAACAGTTTAACTTGATCGTATCTTTAGTGATAGAAACTACCTCGGACATGTCTGTAAGTTGTTTTCAGCTTATTTTCTTTAACTCTTCAAGATAGCTTATGAAAGGAGTTTATAGTTTATATAAAAACAATTTGACTTTATCGTATCTTTTGTTATAAAAATAGCTTATACATTAAACACTTATATGCTATGCACTTATGGATTACTTTTTACTATATATATATATAGGATTATAAGCTGCAGAGACCCTCTCAAGAGCTTGTTGCTAAAGACTTGCATGGTGTGGAGTGGAAATTTCGTCATATTTATAGAGGTAATGTAATTTGATTCGAAAAATATAAAAGGTGTTGTTTCATAAAATGACTAATTGATACAAAATTTAATGCGACAATTTTTCAGGTCAGCCGAGGCGGCATCTACTCACTACTGGCTGGAGCATTTTTGTGAACCAAAAGAATCTTGTCTCTGGTGATGCTGTGCTCTTTCTAAGGTATATATCTATTCTCTCGAGAAACCGACCACCTTTAGTGTCTTTCAAATCATTGCTTCTTATGAATGTCTTTGTAGGGGTGAAAATGGAGAGCTGAGATTGGGAATCAGAAGAGCTGTTAGACCTAGAAATGGTCTTCCTGAATCGGTTATTGGTAACAAGAACTGTTATCCTAATTTCCTTTCTTCTGTAGCAAATGCTATATCCACCAAAAGCATGTTTCATGTTTTCTATAATCCAAGGTATTAGTACTAACTAATCACCTTTTTTTTTAACTTCGCAAGATGCGTGAAGTTTACACTGCAATTACTTATCCTATAATTTTGATTTCGTTGTGGCAATGTAAATCAATACAGAGCAAGTCATGCCGAATTTGTTGTTCCTTACCAAAAATATGTTAAAAGCATCAAGAATCCAGTGACCATAGGGACAAGATTCAAAATGAGATTTGAAATGGATGAATCGCCCGAAAGAAGGTAATGTAGAGTACGATTATTATAAGTTTTTACTGTGATTTCTTCCTTCAGAAAAATATATTTGACATGATTTTATCTTCCTATATTGAAGGTGTAGTAGTGGTATTTTGATTGGAATGAATGATTTGGATCCCTATAGATGGCCTAAATCCAAATGGAGGTGCTTGATGGTACATTTGAAATTTTGCTTTATTACTATTCATCATTTATACGTCTTTTAACGTGAACAGGATTAAAGTCGGATGTTTTTAATGATCAAAGGGTTGTAATATGTAAGCTTTTTGTGGCATCGAGCAGGTCCGATGGGATGAGGATATGGAGACTAATCATCAAGACCGAATATCTCCGTGGGAGATCGATCTTTCGACTCCTCTGCCTCCTCTAAGCATTCAGTCTTCTCCAAGACAGAAGAAACCGCGGACCAGTCTGCAGGTTTCATCGCCCAGTCATCTTATCACTGGTATGAATCCTAATGGTGATATGTAATCCTTAATGATGTTTAACTTAAATTATCAGGGCCATGGCTGGCATTAAGGCAATTTAAAAACACGGTTTCGATCCTAATCGTGTTCTTTCTTTGTTTCATTTCTGGTAGCAAGAAGCAGTGGAATGATGGGCTTTGAGGAGTCAGTAAGATCACCAAAGGTCTTGCAAGGTCAAGAAAATTCAGGTTTTATGTCGCTATACTATGGATGTGACAAAGGAACCAACCAGCCAGGTTTTGATTTGAGCTCTTCAAGTCATCATCGAAATCTCGCGTCAACTGGAATAGGAAAAGTAGTTACCTCTTCTGAGCTTATGAGTGTTCACCCTTTCGGTTACGCAGGCTTTATGGAAAGTAACAACTTTCCAAGGGTCTTGCAAGGTCAAGAAATATGTAAACTGAAATCCCTAACAGGAAAAGTCGATTTCAACGTCGGTGCTTGGGGGAAATCCAATGCAAGTTGCACAAATTTCAACCTTCATCAAGCAAACAAGCACAACTTCCAATCTGCATATTTTCCTTATGCAGATACTCACAAATGTGACCAAGCTAACATGTTTAGCTCAAAACATACCGGTTTCCTAGGAGAGAATGTCGGGTTTAACGCAGCATCAATAGTTGCAGGGAATATTAGAAATGAAGTTGGAAGATCTGAATCTAATGTCTCAATTGAGCATAAGCTGCAGGACAATATTTCTGTTTCTTCTTCATTAAGGACTGCTGATACAAAGGTTCCGATTGATAACAATGTCAACGGAAAGGTAAACTCCTGCAAACTATTCGGGTTTCCTTTGTCTGCGGAAACTAGTTCTCAAAATTTACAGAACACTGCAAAAAGGAGCTGCACAAAGGTGAGAGATGATGATGATAACAGAAAGATATTATGATAATCTGATTCCTTTTTTAATATTTGATGTTTTAAACACCTACGTAACATACACTAAATGAAGGTTCACAAGCAAGGCAGTTTAGTTGGAAGAGCCGTTGATCTCTCGAGGTTGAGCGGATATATCGATCTTCTGAGTGAACTAGAGAAACTATTTGGAATGGATGGCCTTCTTAGAGACTCTGATAAGGGATGGAGGATCCTCTATACTGACAGTGAGAATGACATAATGGTTGTGGGTGATGATCCATGGCAGTAAGTATTCTTATACATAAGAACTTATAAGATAAGCACTTACACTATAAGCTATGAGGCACTGTCGAAGACGCATACATGACACTAGAAATGATTTGATTCAATTTATATTTGATAATAAATTGAATGTAATCACATGTGTCGGTGGCATGTCTATGCTTCAAAGACGGTAAGCATTTAATTAAATTGTTTATCCAACCAAGTTATCGATGAATATCAACTGTTCCAACATATATTGATATGACAGAAGGACTTGATAATTGATATCACTTGTTTGATTGGATTTAAGTTTTTTTATTTTTTGCTTTGGCTGCAGTGAGTTTTGTGATGTGGTATCCAAGATCCATATATATACCAAAGAAGAAGTAGAGAAGATGACATTTGGGATGAACAATGATGATACTCATAGTTGTTTGGAACAGGCACCAGTGGTTATTGAACCTTCTAAGTCTTCCTCAGTTGGTCAGCCAGATTATTCTCCAAAAGTAGTTAGAGTTTGAAAATTCAGGGTTCTCTTGACTTTGTGTTGGCCTTGCTTCTGTACAAATTTAATTATCTATGTTTAATTTAATCCTCCATGTTTGATTACTACCCTTTTGAGCTTGTTAGCCCAGCATAAGTTGCATGGTCAGTACTAGAAGAAGGGCTAGTTAGTCTTGGCAGTTTGTAGAATCTATTTGTGTGATATAAGCCATTACCTCTTGAGAATTGTGTACTCTTGAATAATGGTGATGATTTACATACTTCATGTCATGTCATGGTGGTGTAATATTTTTTATATTATTATGAATGTGTTTGGGGTGCAAGTTGGTCGCAGTTTAAAAAGTGTAATGGTATATTCATCGAGCGTCCTCAAAATACGGCATAGAGGGTTTTCTAAGAACACACAATGTAATATACCACTTCCTAGTCGCTCATTTATTAGAATAGCCACTCATTACTTGTAATGATCGCTCTTTTATTGAAATACTCGTCCGTTTATGGAAACGGTGGGAGTGAGGTGTCCCTGTCTATAACAGTAAGGAGAGGAAGTCAAGAAGAGAAAGTCACATTCTCTAAAGTAATAGGGGAAGTAACTACCTAGTAATAGGGAAAGTAACTATCCATTTCCTACTCTTCTAAGAGTGGAAAGTGTTGTTACCGCTTCCTTGGAGTCAGAATCAAGTCCAAAAGATTTTTATAAATATTTCAACCCTAAGGTTGAAAAGGACATTCAATTCTCTCTAAAAACACGATACACAGCGTGAATTTGCCTAACACCACGACAACCCAAAATACCTCTGACAACCCTTTACTACAAAGATTTGTCACTTGTAATTTTAACAAGTACAAAAATAAACAACAACTGGAAGTGACCATATTTTCTTTTCTATAACTCACCAAAGTTCTTTTGAAAAATGTAAGATATTACATTGCTTTTGGCACCAAATTATTGAAGATCAGACCAGAACCTTTTTTTTCCATCATTTTCCAAGAGGAATGAATTGCTTAAAAGATTTCAACAGAAAAAGAGCACATACAAATATGATATGTCAGCGTATTATTGATCAATGCTGGTTAACACAATTCTCATTTGATAAATGAAAATTTCTCTTACAAAAAATCATCTCGCAGGGCTCAGTTCCAGTCAAAATCCAAAGGACTAACATGTCATTGTTCCTTGAAGAGCTCACGTCCAATAATCATTCTTCTGATCTCACTTGTTCCGGCTCCGATCTCGTAGAGTTTAGCATCTCTAAGGAGACGACCGGTTGGATACTCATTCACATAGCCATTCCCACCTAAACATTGTATCGCCTGCAAAGCAACCTGCGTTGCTCTTTCAGCTGCACAAAGTATAACTCCAGCACAATCCTGAAATTAGTACACCACGAGAGTATGTTTTACAATTTTTCTTTGTTGCAAACAGGAAAATATTATAGTTATTGTATTGAGGAGGCACCTTCGGGTCAACTTTTCCGTTATCACAGTCCCGAGCTACAGAATACACATAAGACCTGAAATAAAGAATGTTATCAATCGACTTCGATGCAAGCTTATTCTGCAGAATGGTATTAAAATCTTCTACCTTGAGGACTGTAAAGACGTATACATGTCCGCAACTTTTCCCTGAGTGACCAAAAGATCAATTGAAAGTGAACAAAGATTCACATACAATACAGAATACACGATAATGAAAAATCAAAATTATGTCACCGATGAAATGAACCTGTATAAACTGAAACTCCCCAATAGGATGACCGAATTGCTCTCTTTGTCGAGTATAAGGAAGGACAACATCGAGACATGCCTGCATAATACCAAGGGGACCACCTGATAAAACAAGCCTTTCCAGATCCAACCCTGACATCATGACATAGACTCCTGAACAAAAACAAAATATCTCTTAAAAAAAGATCTTAGACTTAAGCTCGTTTTTCTTAAGTCTATCCAAACGAGCCCTACGAACTAATATAAAGATAATTTCTGTTTTTAAAAGATTATAAAAGAAATTGTAAGACCTTTTCCTTCCTTCCCAAGAACATTTTCTTCCGGAACAAAGCAGTTCTCAAAGACAAGCTCGCATCTGCCCACAAAATTCCGTTTTATCAGTGAAACCAAGTGATTGAAATTGGAAATGGATTCAATGTCGAAAATATAACATGGAACATGCATACATACGTATCACTTCCTCGCATTCCTAGTTTATCCAGTTTCTGTGCAGTACTGAATCTGTAGTCAAACAACAACGATTGTCAGGTTTTCATCTTTCACGTCTACTTTTCTCGCTGTAACAAAATGATTTATCAATAATCATGACTCTCTTGTTGTCAAAGGTTCAATAAAATTACCCAGGCATTCCCTTCTGGATGATGAATGCAGTTATTCCTTTTGACCCTGCTGTTATGTCTGTTTTTGCATAGACAACCTGTTCAAATCAACACAATCAAATGTGTGCTATGCAATCTCAGCATATGCGATACATCTAGATCATGACAATAATACAGACAACGCAATTAGCGTGAAAAAGAAAAAAGCGATAAATTTAAAGAAACATACTAATGTTTGAGCAACTGTCCCATTAGTACACCACATCTTGTTGCCATTAAGTACATATCCCCCGTCTACACGATCAGCCTTGCATTTCATGCTGACAACATCAGACCCAGCTGCAGAAAACACAAATTCACTCGGCAATGTTGTTGGAATATCTAAACAATTAAGATACTGCTATTCAATTTCACATATCTTACAATTGGGTTCACTCATCGCCAAAGCTCCCACGTGATCCCCCGAGATAAGCTTCAAAATTGAAGAGCAAAATATATAACAAGTCAGCCTTAACTTTAAACGGATACGGCAAGACAGCAAATATTTCATTGAAAAAGTAGAATCAAATAAAATCAAACTAGGGGGAACTAGAATCTAGAACCTTTGGCAAGTATTTCTCTTTCTGAGCATGGCTTCCATTCCTCACCTAAAACAAACATAAGGTAGCGATCTTGAATACACGTTCGAAAATCGTCAAGTATACAAAGAAAGAGACTTAAGTTCAGTTCAATTACCAGTTGATTGATACATAGGTTAGAATGAGCACCATAAGAAAGACCAACCGATCCTGAAGCACGGCTAATCTCTTCCATTGCTATACAATGATACAAGTAACCTAGACCAAGCCCTCCATACTCCTCTGCAAATAAGCAGAAACATGATCCGAAAATGTTCATCGCAACAAAAAGCATGATCATCTACGATAAGTATACCTGGTGCAGTAATCCCATGGAGATTAAATTCTCCCATACTTTTCCACAAGTTAACCTCCTAAAATTAGATCAAAAACACAATCAGTATGTTCAATCAAACTATGAGCTATATATTGTTCATTGACATGATTAAAAAAACAAAATAAATCATATCATGAAACGTACCTTTGGGAAATAGTTAGTGTGGTCAATTTTGGAAGCATGAGGAGCAATATTTTCATTAGCAAATTGAGCAACACTCTCTTTAAACTGCAATAGAAACTTGAAACCATTAAAAGCATGACACCAAGTTGAAGTTATGAGAGCATTCTCAAGTTTTCAGAGACTCCGTGCAAATTAGTCGCTTAAACTATGACAAAACAAATAGAGACCCTATTTAACTATGTAATAGAGAATTGAACAAAACCCAAATGAAAAAGTTCTATTTTTTATAAATACAGAAAAACAGGATCAATAATATTTTTACCAACCCAAATGAAAAAGTTAGATTTTTTACAAAGACAAAATAATGGGGTCAATCATTTTGTCAAAGTTAAGACCCCATATGAAAAAAGATCAAATTTTTACAAAATACAGAAAATGGGGCAATGATTTTTTCTAACCAAAATATCAGAAAAACTAATACAAACAGTTTAAGGGTGAAACCTGAATCTGTGTATCGTCGAAGAGGAAGGAAGTGGAATAACTATAAGAATTGGTTCTGAAAAGAGATGAACAAATGGAGCGTGCTGTGTTGATTCTTGTTCTAAGCATGTTTGAAACAATAACAAAACCGTGTGTTATTGATATACAATAGGTTAGTTAACTTAGCTGTTGTTGTTGTTCTATATAGATATAGCGATCATATAATTATGATATAGTTATGATTATATAATATAATGTGTATCTATTGTTTATGAGGATAAAAAATAGTAAATAAAAAATAAATGAAAGCATGATAAGAATAATATAGATAGGTTGGTTGAGATAAGGATGGTGGACAACACATTATCAGAAATGAATCGGACAGTGGTAGTTATCTTGTTCACGAAACCTTTCCTCTTTGAGACTATTGTTAAGAAATTACAAATTTTTATTGTCTTATCATTCTTTTAAAAATAAATATCAAACTAACACTCAATTCATTCATCAATATATATCAATATGTTATAGTTTTAAAAAAATTGTTATTAATAAAGAGGCTTCACTCATTTAATAGATGGAAGAGTACAAAATGAAAATGTTTATTCTATTTGGCGGATGTACAATTTTTCGTTTTTAATTATTTGTTTAGCATCTTTTGATTTTTCTGCGGAATTTCTAGTAAAATAACATTCTTACGAAATTACTTACGAATTTCTCAAGTATATGATTTTATTAAATTTTGTTGATAAATTCGCAGGAAATTTCGTAGGAAAGAAATTCTGTAATAAAATACACAGGAATTTTCAAAGAATTCAATTTTTTCAAGAAAATTCGCAAGAAAATAAAATGTAATTAAAAAAAATATACAATAGGAGGGTCCACCCAATCAATTGGCGGATATACTTTAAAATATTATTTTTTGTTTGAAAAGACGGTACTTTGGTATTTATGAAAGAAAGAATGATAATTTAGTATTTAAATTAGAAAAAGATGGTATATTTGTGAAAATTTTCATCAAATCTATTGTTTCTCTGTAATCGTATTGATCTAAATATTTTTATATATAAAAATGTACTATTGATGCAAATATTTTTGTAAACGATATCTAAACAAAAATAATATTTATATACGAGAAAAAATTGAATTTTTTTCAGATAACCATTTTTTTCAAAAAAAATCTAAAATAACTACATTTTCAAAAAATTTATCAAAGTAATCACTTTTCAAACAAAACAATTCGCCACACAGAGGAGGCGCCACTCTATGTGGCGCATGCATACAAATTAAAGAGGAAACGCCACACTGTGTGGCGTATCCTCCTGTATAATGTCATGCAGTGTGGCGCATGCATGCAATAATAGAGAGAAGACGTTACCTTGTGTGGCTTGACAGTGTTATATGGTTTTCTATAAATACAATCACCCATCCTCTTCATTTTTTCACACCATTTCTCACATAACTCTTAGAAAATGTCTTACATTCCCTTGCCAAGGTTTACACTAATCAAAAGAGATGCACATGTTATTTTTTCGGCGACAAAGTCTCCGATGAAGATCAAACTCTGACACACAGACATTCGAGAATTTTCAGATACACTTGATTCGCTGGTTGGAATGAGACATTCCTGAAGGTGGACAAATCAGAAAAATTGAAAGACAAATTACATTGAGGAACGAAAATGGAGTAAGTCGATCATAGAAAAATGTGAGATACGACGCTGATGTCATGATGATGATGCTTGAACCAGACGATATTGTGTTGATGGTTTTTATCTCTTAGGTATTATGATGTGTTTAGTTGTTTTGTTTGCTTATCATGTTGTTGTGTTGTTGTCCTGAGTTTGTCGTGTTGTAATTTTTTGGGTCATTATGTGAAGGTTGTTGTAATCGAATGATAAATTGAACACGAAATAAAAACCCGAATTTAAATTGAAATTTCTTGCTTATAACAAATTAATTACTCTAGAAAGTTTGCTATAAAAAAATTAGGTTGCAAAGCTAGACCCAATATTCAGAAAAAAATTTCGATTGTGTCCGGGAAGACGACATGTACTGCATAATCTTATCATTTTGTTGGCCGTATCCATTTCAGTTCTAATACGAGTGCTATTAGGGCGTCCCTTTTTCTTCTGTCGCATTTGTTCATTGTGCGAAACAGTGTCCCCTTGATAAGCAGGCCAACAATCCTCCTTTGCCAACACGGAGAAGGTACTGATATACATAATTAAAACGCTCTTTACTGTATAAACGGGGGATATATGTTGTATTGGATCCAAGCGAACATGTGAACATGCCGCTATAACATGAGAGCAAGGTATGCGAAATGCTTGAAACTTTCCATAATCACACCAACCTTTATGATCCATTGTCTCTTGTACACTGAACCAACCTTTAACACGGTCAAATACGGTGACTATGGATGTTTGCTTTAGCAGCCTCCTCGTTAAATGATTCCATTGTGCATTCACTGAACAACTGTCCTGATTGTAACATTGCCCTCCATTTTGAACTTCTTGTGTCAAACAATGACCCCATCCTAAAATATGTTGCTCTAACCAAAGAAATAATTGGTAGGTTTCAGATGTCTTTGAAGACAGAGTTCAATGATTCCACCAAATTTGTTGTCATGCGGCCACATCGTTGACCATTGTCAAATGCCCAAGTCCACTTCTCCATTGGAATGTTATCGATCTACCTTAATGCTTTTGAGTTTTTCAACCAGGTTTCTTTGCAATAGTGTCAGAATAATGGTTCTGTTAAGGCATACCCTACATTAACAACTTTCTTTCGAAGTGTCTTGTCTTTGATATGGAGCATGGAGTTTTGTGTGATATGTCTAATGCAATAGACATGTGTTAAAGGGGGATCTTGCCAACTGTGATCAGGGTTATTGTATGCACTCACAGTCGATGGATGTCTGTCTGAAATCAAACAAAGATTGGGTTGAGGAGCAACGTGCAATCGAAGATTCTTTAGAAAGAAGTTCCATGCACCACCTGTCTCACCTTCAACTAGATCGAAGGCAATCGGAAAAACATTACTGTTTCCATCTTGTGCCACTGCCATGAGTAATGTTCCTTTATACTTTATGTATAACCAAGTTGCATCAATCTGTATAATAGGTTTGCAAAATGCAAAACCTTTGATGCATGGTTCATACGCCCGGCACAATCGACGAAATATTCCACTGACACTAGTTCTGTCAGGGGTAAATGTCGGGAGCGTCTCCAAAATTACCACAGTTCTCGAAGCATAATATTTGAGTGCCACCAAAAATCTTGGAAGTTCTTTGTACGATTCCTCCCAGTTACCGTACACAAGTTCAACTGCCTTAGTCCTCGCGATCCATGGCTTCTTGTAAGAGGGAGTATAATTGAATCTTGTAACGATATGAGAAATAATTGTACTCACTTTTAATGATGGATCCTTGCTAAAAGAGGCAAGATTTCTTGACATGTTAGTTGAGAACTAAGTTTTCGATGATCCTGCATCAAAACGGTGGTGGTGCAAGTGTGAAGTGGATCAATGGTACATATTTCCCATGAATCAATTCTCTTCTTGTAAGATGCAGTTAAACGAAAATGGAAAATTGATTTTTGATGACATAAAATAATGTACCTCCCTGAATTAGTTCGATCTACACTGAAATCTGCTAAAATTTCCATGTGGTATTTTTTGATAACTCTAACACACTCTTCTTTTGTACGAACTTTTTCTCCAACTTTCAAGGCCCCTTCGATCTGCATATGAGGATTGTGGAAGATATCTGAGGCTGGTTCATCTTCCCCCAAATTCAAGTTCGTCATGTGAAACAGAGGTTCGTACGCATGACTCATAGGTAGAGGTTTATGCTCTTGATCTTCATCGGCATTACTGACCATAAAATCAGTCATTGCCTCATCTTCTTCTTCTTCTTGGTCAATAACATCGACTTCGGGGTGGTTTTCCTCGTCAGATTCATCCTCTTCTTCAAAATCTTGAGAAGGATCTACCACCTGAGATTGATTAGGTTGTTGTAATAAAACATACAGCTCAATCTCATTGAACCTGGATTGTTCATGTGTTCAAAACATGTTTTGAACATCATCATCGTCACACACATTTAGTTGATAAAATCTGACTTGATTGTTGTCAAATAGGAATTGAGACTTGTAAAGAATTTGGTAAATTGGACAACACTACAATTTTTCTTCCAATCTATTTTTGAAGCATGTAAAACTTGATTTCTTGTTTGTCCGAAAATGGATAAAATCGGTATTACAAAAATTAAAACCGAAGTTATCGCAGTTGAACGTCTCACCATTAATATGAGTAGCAATAGTAAAATTTTGTGAATGATCCATCTGTTGAGGTTTGTTTTTGTGAGCTATGGATGTATACCAGTAATGCGCCCTAAACAGACGCTTAAATAGACTGATGAAAATATGGAGTGTATACACTGATGCGCCACCTAGGGTGGCTTGTCCTCTTTATTTTATAAGCATGCGCCACCTAGGGTGGCTTGTCCTCTTTATATTTCAAGCATGTGCCACCTAGGGTGGCTTGTCATGTGAACAACAAGCTTGCATGCATGCCATCTAATCACTGTCACGCTGCAGCTTTGCATGCATGCAAAGAGTAACAAGCCATGTTGAATGGTGCCTATGTGTAAAACAAAAGTATGCGCCACCTAGTGTGGCACCTATGTGTAACTTGCATGCAAAGAATTCTCACATGAATGCATAGTGTTCCTCAATATTTTCTTATAAATACATATAACATTCATCCTATATGTTTGTTTATCACAATCATAACTCACACACTATTTATTTCTTGAAACATCAATAAGAACACAAGAGTAACCAAGAAAAATGGCTCTCTTGACCATGAGTAATCAATATAGAGGAACTCTCAACAACATTGAAACCTTTGTAAGTTTATTTTCTTCAATACTTGTTAATTATCGACAAATTTGATTTCCGTAGTTCTTATGATTGTTATACGTAAATCTTATATTTCTTATACGTAATTCATGTTTTTAATAGGATGTTAAAAGATTTCGTTACCGTGTTCATGGGTATGTCCCTTACAATGTACAAATTGAATCGTACTTACGACACACCGGTTTTGGTCCGTTACTAAACATAGTCA